CTCGCGGCGTCGCGTGCCATCGAGCGCTGTTAAGGAAATTAAAGGAGGACGCGGTCGAAGGAGTTCAGAGAAGTCTGCATATATAACGTGAATTGCAACGTCACGGAACCACAGCTGCTCGAATCGTTTCGATCGAACGTTTGTGTACTTCGACGGCAATCTCGAAGACACAGTCTACGGTATTATGCGGCAATCGGTTCGTTGCGGACGCAACCAGCGAGCTAAGAATGCAGTAGTTGCGAGAGTTCGTCGCTAGGCGTTTCTTTTATTGCGCCTGGGCATCGGCGATACGCGTTTGCACACGGACAATTCGACGGGTCTAGGTGCCTCGAAGACGATTAAGAAATGGTTGGTATCCACTGATACCATGGAACTGAAAACCTCGAGTCGTCTGATCGATATTACATTTTTTTCTACAAAATGATCTCGAAAAATTGAAATAGTTAGACAATGGCCTATTGATCGAACGACTTCAGAAATTCGTGCAATGTTTTACATATTCTAGCACTTCCATCGCCCTGGGAAGGAGTCGGGAGAACGAAAGTTGCTTGAATTAGATTTTTATCATTGTGAAACTTGTTCCGAGAAGAACTGAAGAATTGTGGGAACCGTGCATCCACTTCTTCGTGACTACATTCTTTCCTAGGTATACGCGTGCTACTCGATTGGACCAACAACTATCACACCAGGACGATCCCGTGGATTTCTACTCTGGTGAAACGATCTCTGTCCATCGAACGTTTAACAAAAAACACGAACGTATCGTAATGTTACAAGCTTCGTGTCACCGTGACTAATTAAAATGTGCTCACCAAGAGGAGTACGGTGCTCCACTTTTTCCAAGGGAGAATTTGCTTTCGCGGCGAGACCACGCAATCGGAGAATACGATTAAACCCGCACGCAAAAGTAGAGTGTTCCGTAGGAAGTAAAAGCAAGGACGACTTTGGGGATATTGGCGACGACAATTCAGCCCAGAATTTCTTTTGACAATACACATCGTTGTTAATTTTCAAGTCGATCCGGTCGCACTTTACTGACGAACGATGTCATAGGTATAATACGCGATCCAAGCCGGAGAAAAGAGGAAACTCGCTCCGCATATTTTGCCACGGTCGACGACGTATTCGAGCGTGTCACCCGTTCCACAGTCCTTACGAAATTATTATTGTCGTTCCGCATAGATCCGAGCGAACACGCTCTCCCCGATTCTCGACAGGCTGCACCGAATACGCCGTGTACTATTTTTTAATAATAATATTCATTTATAAATGGGTTATGAACTCAATATACAATTATATGGAAGTCTAGAGGATAAACGAAAAGCTTAGATATACAATAATGCGTAAAGATATACCAGAGTTCACGAAAACTTATACAGTCAAGGTATCGGTTCCACCCCAGTGGTTGGGATGAAGTAGAAACTCTCGCAAGGAACTTCCAATCCGACTCTCATGAAGTCTTAACTGTAGTACTATACAGAAAATTTAACATTCAACGAAAGTTCTACGGGACTACATGAAAAACTAACCGTTAATACCGTTTATAAAATTTTCAAGAAATCTAGCAATTAGCTATGGTACAACTGGAAATGTAATTCTATTACGAAATACCCTATTGTAAATTCCGTTTCCCGTACGATGTTTGCCCGGGATGGTAAAACGGGTTCGGGTGAATCGAATTAATCCGATTCCAAGGAAATAAAAAACGATCTCGTAAGCTCAATAACTGGAACTTAACGCCTTATACGACGCCGGAACTATGTAACAGGTTTTACAAGAGAATAATTGCACTGGTCACGCGATGTTATAATTGAATCCCAGATGGGATTTATATTTTCCAATGCTGTATTTCGGAAGCGATGTATCGTCGATGATCCAGTTTGCCCTGGATCTAGCTCCAGTACGAGGGAATTCAGCGAAAAATGAACAAGGATCGTTCTTTTTTGCGTCGAAGAAACGGATAACGGTTCAAGCTTGTACACCGGGTCTCCTGACGGGTTTCGAACGTCACCGGATGGGCCGGTTCCGTTCGACCAAAACAAACGTGCCGACGTCGGTTTTTGATAGACGGTAACGGTCGATCGTTCCTGGTAAAGAGGCGATTGTCCGTCCAAAAATGTTCAGCGTCGATAAGATTCCTTTTTTTCCGGGAAGGAACAGTGAGGTGGTAAGTGCACAGGGTATCATCTTGTACATGTAAGAAACATTTACACGGCAACATTAATGGACGTACGTTGGGTTTAACAGTACACTTTAATGCCACGACCGACAGGCATAGTGCTTCGAGTGGCGTAATCGGTAAACGAGCCACTCGGCGTCTGGTCGAAGGTATTCCGTCGAAGATGAAAAAAGGGGAATGACCTACCTCACTGCGAGCTAAGTCACTCGAAATTTCCGCGATGATATTTATTATGAACAGGACACACCTCTTGATACAATACACAAAAGATCCAGATAGTAGTCGAGACCAACTACAACTGAGTAAAAAAAAAAATGAGAGGAAAACTTGTACTAAAATTGACCGACCCTACAAATACGTGAATTTTAAAGCATTTTGCAAGTGGCTAACGCGGATGAGGGTTTTTAATTTAAATAATACTGTTTTGAAAATTGAATACAAACCAGGGCACCTAGTGTTTTGTTTTTGTGGACGAGTCCCTGTACGGAGCGCATGACGATCGTCACGTATGCACTGAAGATTTGTTTCGTTTTAGAAGCACTTTTGGAGCTCAAAATGTTTGCAGTTTTTACACTTCTCGATGTCCAGATAGCGACTAATCGTTACTGGACACGGAAACACGACAGTTGGCGAAGAAAAACAAACCATGACGTGGGAGAGACGCAGCTCCGTTTGACAATCGATCGCCACTTATGGAAGGAGTCTGAACAATTCCATGTTGAGGGAATCGCGTAAAACAGAGACAAATTTTATTGCTAAATCGGCTTTTGATATTTACACTGTCGGAAGCCAGATAAAAACGTAGGTAGGTTAATCAATTTGCTGTCCAAGACACTACATGCACACACGAGTATTTTTTAAAGAACTTCTGCGAAGGGCGAGAAAGGTTAAAGATCAAAAGCACTTTGAGTCACAGAATCACGGTAGGTTCTCGGAAATAGCATTTTATTGAGCGTTAGATCGAGAACTGACGAAATCAACGAATTCCACCTGACTCACCCGTCTTCTCCAGAGACGCGGTCGAGAGGTTTGAAAATTCGAAAGCTCGTTCTCGCCATAATCGTCGCAGTAGGCCAGCCAGGAGTCCGGTTCAAGGCCGACGATAGCTCGACAAATAAACGGGGAAACGTCGAACGGATGAATCCTCGAGGAATGACAAACGACTACGAATTGGTTAAGGGAACACTGTTCGAGCACTGGGTTCGCGAAATCGTTTCGTTGGTAACGGTCCCGGAGACACAACGTGCTCCGTACACAAACAAAAGGTAACTCTGACACTGAGAGGGATCCCTAGTGTGTTTAATGACACAACGTGCTCCGTACACAAACAAAAGGTAACTCTGACACTGAGAGGGATCCCTAGTGTGTCCTGGACGGCCTGTTTACTTCGTTGAATTTGACCGCAAGACCCCACCCTCGCATTATCGAGGCTGTCGACAGCCAATTAAGAGGCAACATGCATTTTCGAGGAAAAGGAAACACGCGTTGACAGGTCGAAAGGGATCCGTGGAAAGGACGAAACTTGTCACGCCGTACGTGTACGTACGTGTGGGTTGTCGGACAGCAGCGTGTTTGTTACTCACGTATGGATGGCTGGTCCTGTTTCTGTCCGGTTTCAGGATCACCGGTGAGCCCTTCACTCAAGGATTTCACGATGATCGAACATTCGACGGGACGATCACTCACTCTCTAGAATTTAACGGTCAGGGTGTGCCCCGAATTTCCATGCGACCAACGGCGCCCGTCAAACGTGAACTACTGCCGCCATCTTGACACGAGCGAAGCCAACGCCGTTCGACGGTCGATCGCGAAACCGAGACCCCCGCACGCGCGGGACAATTCGAAATCGTGACACGACATGAATCCTTGCGCGAAATTTTATCGATAAAAAAAAGAACTTGGGGAAAATAATGATTCGCGGTTTTTTATTGGCCTCTGACACGTATGACAGCGTATAGCGAAATTAACCTAGTTCTAACAGTCACAGCTTTAATGGAGATTCTATCATAGGTGTAACATAGTTTATCAATTGAAGAGATCAATTTTAAAAAACCATGTAACTGGATTGTAGGAAAATTTTCGTCATAGAAAAGAAGCTTTAGAGTATTTCTTGCTTCGACAAATAGTAGAATGTAAGAGTTATATAAGGAAGATACAAGTGATAAGATTGTGTGGGTCAATTATGTAAAATGTAGGTCGTTTTTTCGAAAAAATTGTTCACATGCGGCGGGTATGTTAATTTTAGAAGCGTGACGCGTGAATTGGAACAGTTTAGAAAGGTACAACGATAAACTAGTGTGTGGCCAGGGTTCGCGAATAATTCGCGACGTCCCTGGGTTCGATCGAATCGACGTTTTCGCCAGCGGTAGTAGCAGTCCCTGGGCAGAATGCAACTGCGACGTGACACGGAACGACGGACCTAGTTCGCTAAAATTGGACGCACGTGCAATTTCTGGTACGTAGTTGTCGCGAGTGACACGACTTGTTCGAGCTGACTTGTTTATTTCGTCAGTCGATGGGATCGCGAGATGGAGCGGGATTCTATTAATCGGCTTTTCAACCGACTGCTTTCAGAACACGTGTGGCTCGAACGACCACGTGGGCCGCATGAACCGAGAAACAAGTGCCGCATCGTCCGGTGAGTGCATTCGAAAACCCTGTGATATCTCTGCTATCTGGACGATACGATGCTAAAACAATGAGAATCTCTATTTCCTGAACAAACACTGATATAAGGGAAATATTGTCAATTGTCGAATGCACGTATAAATCGCTCCGAAAGGGGTAACCTTACAGGATGATATTTTGAGAGGCATAGACGTTCACGAGGGTGCACGTAACTGGCATTTATCATTTTGCAAGAACGATTTTTAATGTACAAAGAATGTGTGTATTCGAATCGCACGACAATACATATCTATGTACTTAGATAAAAAAGGAACTATGTGATGTAGTTTATAGTACTTTGTCAATTTATAGAAATTACTTGTAAGTAAATTAGACAAAGACATGTACTGTTAATGCAGTCACACTAGCTAGATTGAGAAAAGACTGATAGCCTAAGGATATACAAGCTGCAATACGTCTTTGTCAACATAAAGAACATATAGAGTTATGGCCCAAGAGGAACCAGAATTAAAGAAGTTGAAACATTCTGTTATATCAGATCATGTCTATTTACCTGACTTTCAGAAACTCTTTTATGAGCATTGGCATAATTTTAGTGACATAAAAAAGGATAACCTTGAAATGATATCACAACCTTTTAGAGTATGCAAAATTTCCCATTTTCTTCGTAACGAAGACTTCATGGATGAAATAAAAAATGAATTATTGGATGTCAAAAGTAGAAGGAACAGTATAGATCTATATCAGTTTGAGCAGACCAGTGATCTGGCTAATGTGGACACTAAGAACTTAAAGTTATTGTATGAAACATTTCAAACAGATCTAGCAACATGGATGGAACAGAATACTAAGATAGATCTTAATAAAAAAATATCTATGTCTAGCTCCTGTTATTCTGATACAGATTATTTGTTATGTCATGATGATAATATGGGTGATAGGAGAATTGCTTTTATACTGTATCTTTCAAAGAATTGGACAGTGGAAGATGGAGGAGCTCTAGATCTATTCGACACGGATGGAAATGGATTACCCAGAAATGTTGTTAAATCACTAGTACCAGAATACAATTCCCTTGTATTTTTTGAAGTTGTAGATAACTCATATCATCAAGTAGCTGAGGTAATTTCCCCAGAGAAGTCTCGTTGGAGTATTAATGGTTGGTTTCATGGTCCTTTAAGAGAGAGTAACAAACCTCCACGACCCGATACTGAACCAAACTACATAGGACCGGTGAACAAGCATGTATCATTGGACAATTGGATAACAATGTGTTACCTGCTTCCTGGAATAGTCAAGGAGATTCAACAGGACATGGAACAAGAATCATTTGCGTTTCTATCCAATTTTTTGGTAGATGACATTTATGAAAAACTTGCGACAGATGTGTCATCGGGTGCAATTGTCTGGCAAAAAGTAGGTCCAGCAGATATCTGTAACTATGAAATAGCAAAGGAGGAAACCTTGCCAGAGTTACTGAAGGAGTTCTACAATATGTTTAAGTCCATCTCAATGTTTCAACTGCTGAAGGATTATACGGAATTGGATCTTGTACCAGAGAAAGAAACAATGAAGCCTAAGATGCTGATCGAGCTGCAGAGATGGTCCAAAGGTTGCTACACACTGATATCCGATAAATCTTTGTTAAATGACGCTACTGGTCCAATTAATGAAAAAAAATCGAGTAATGGGTGTATGAATAAAGACGAGGAAGGCCAAGATGATTCATTGGACACTCCTAGGGCCAGCAAAAGCAATAGAAACTGCCGTGAAAAATGGATAGCCAATAACGATAGCAAGAACGAAGAATCGGGCTGTAATAGTCCGACAAGTAATAAAGAAGACGAAGAAGTCAATGAAGACGAGGTACTAAAGATAATCTTGAAGGGAAAGTCTCCTCGACTGAAGAAGAAGAATTTGTCTCAGCAGTCTTCTTCGTCAAAATTAGAGAATATTTCACCGCAAAAGTTGGCTAGGGTCTTAGACACCGACGATTCGGACGTGTCAGACATTGGGGATTACTTGTCGGATCCCTTAGACTGTTCCCTCGAGTGTTCTGATCAGGAAGAAGACATGGATGACGCGAATGCATCAGAGCCAGGAACTCTGGACGTGATAATTCAATTCCACACGGGTCACGTACCCGAGGAAGACACTATAGATTATGTAGACCCTAGAGAGCAAGAAGGTGCACTGATTCACGTACCCGCGAAGAACAACCACCTTTGTCTAGTTTACAAGACCCTGGGCACTTCTCGTGTTCACAAGTACGTGAATCATTATTGTACAGATTACTTCTACAATTTAATTTGTACATATTACGAATAATTCCACTGGCGAGTTCAGGAATTGTGTAATGAATCGCGGACGAACAGCGTTCGCTTTAAAAATGTATCATAGTATTCGTATTAATAAAATTGTCAGTATTTATCGTCGGACATGTGCGTATCTCGTTTTTCTACAGCTATCCTTGATCCCTTCATTGAAATCTATCCTAAGGGGAGGTATTAATTAGGATACTCGTGCTACATACTATAAGAAAACCACAGTGCAGAAAACATTCTCAATTATTTATTAGGTGTCGTACATAGCAATCCCTTGCGTTTACGTTAGCTAAGTGCAATCGGGGATAATCATGCATAAATTCAAAGTTCTACGTTTTACGGTGCAAGGGAAGCTCGGACACAAGATCAAAATTTAAACGAAGAAAGAAAATGGTGTTAAGCTTACGATTTGATGGGGTTATTAAAGTCGATTTCCGGTTCCTGTACTCCTACCCTAGGACGGGACGAACCTTCCTCCTTGCCATCCCTAATCACTTTCGTGGTAACCTGATACGTAAAAGATTTTGATAGAGAATGCCCGAGAATCGTGATTGTTCAACGTCTCGGTGGTATTAAAAGTACAATTATCATATGACTGTTCGCGATTCGAATTGCCTTTCAGGTCTCCTACACGGATCACTCGAGGCGGAAGCCATTACCGGACACGCCTTCGATTTGTCTTCGTTCCAGATGACTTCAACGTCCGGAGAATCAATTGCTTCCGATCGCACGAAACGTAATACGTCATAATCTGAATAATTAATCTCGAGACGGATTGTTAATCACCTGAGAAGCTGTTGGAATCCCAGCCATACGTTTCCGCAGTTCGTTCAGCTGCAATTCTCTCTGAAAGCTCGCGTCGCCCTCCTGAGAATCTTCGCGTAGATCCTCGTTAATCGATTCCGAGGAGTACTCGACCTGCACCCATGGACAGATCGTCGGCGAGGCTTGCAAGGAATTGCTGCCGGGTCGTGAAAGTCGAGGAGAAAGTCGTCGCAACAGTGAAATGAGTTTCGATCTGAAACGAAGAATCGTACCGGCAATTTATCGTCAAATGACATATCGGATATATGCGTGGAGATCGGTGAGTACTTTGTGCTGGGAGTTTGAAGATGATCCGATCCGATCGGTCCGCTTCTTGAAAGCTGTTCGGCGCTTCTGGTCGTGTCCCTCCAATGTAGTTTATTAATGGACCTCCCTACTCGCCAGTCTAGGCTGCTACTTTGTCGGGATTGAAAGCCTGAAACGTAACTTAAATTAGTCATACGATTTAACACACGAGATCTAAATTTTTATTGAAGTAGAAACAGAAACTCTCACTTTGTTCATTCACAGTCTGACTAACCCTCCAGTCCAAGGAGCTACTACTTCTATTCACGCTATAAATGTTATCACAGGATTTGGTGGCAAGGTATGTGGCATGATGGCGACGTCTGAGCAGCTTCGAAACTGGTCCCAGGTTTCTGAAAACATCACCCAATTAGTTCGAAGAATTTATCCAAGAAAACAATAATAATATTTATTTATTTATTTATTTATTTATAAACGGGTTAGCCCCATTGTTTCTATAAGTTGTTAATACTCACTTCTTAAATTTTCGCGACTGTTCGATCGGCGGTTTGCTCTCGCAAACCACCACCTTCACTTCCGGTTCTGGACAGTACGTGCCAACGCGAATGTGGCTGTAGCTTCCGCGAATACCATCCAGAGACCGGAAGTTACCGCGTTCGTTCGAAGGCACACGGATGATCTCGATCTTCGGTCTTCCCTCCATTTTCCTCGAACTAGTCCCGATCTATTCTATCCACAATAAAATCCAGCACTAATCGATCACAAAAATAGTAAAAGAAATTCTTCCTCTCTGGCTCTGAGCTGTCATCGACTCGTTCGATATGTGTTTGGCGGCGTTTCCAGTTTTTCTCTCAAGAACTATGATCGGCGACACTCTTAAAATAGTCTTGGTATTTTTCACATCTATCCAAAATTCTCTTGTCATTGTAGCACGTCATATTGGTTTCAAAGGGTTTGGCACGCGCTGACGTACCGAGTATCACGCGTCCTCGGCTATTCACGTGGCACGTGCTCCCGGTTATTCGACTCACCGTCGCCTTCTCGCTTCCTTCGTCGAGGCTGGTCAGGTTCATTCATTCCACTGGAATCATCCTTATCCGTTGGCGAGATCGTATCTTATGTTGCATCGATGCACACGAGAGCTAATGGAATCTTTGAGATCTTGCAATATTTCCGTTCGTGTCTTTATCACCACACGCGTACGCAATTAAATTATTGTCGCATAATAAATATCATTAAAAGAGTTTAGAAATATAGATACTCGATTCTGGTATAAAAAATGTTAGCGGTTCACTGCTCGATTAAAAAACGTGTATATGTTACACCGTGGACAGTCCAAGGGAACCTGTTCACAGACGTCTGCCGTTTCTCCCGAGCTTTTCTCTCTCCTTTTTCGCCGCGAGTGGTTTCTACAGTTCCTGTGCTCGTTTGTGTGGTTTCACTCGCGACGTGTCTCCGGCCTGAATCGCCGTCAAGCTGCGAGAACTGACGGCCCCAATTTCCTAAATAACGAGCTCCATTAACTATCGTTTTTCTCTGTCACACCTATTTTCGTGGGACGATTGCACAATGGCCAGTTACGATCACAAGAGGAACAATGCTTGTCTTACGTCTATTCATGCAATTGATCGAAACTGTCTGTGTTCCTGTAGCATAAATGTCTACCGAGACTATTTGGACAGGCTGGAATCGATCGTACACTTGTTGGGCGCACCATAAGCGTGGGGGCTTTGGAATTTACCGAAGAATAAATTTCTAACAGTTGGCTGGTTTCTTCACTGTACAAACCGCTAATGTTTCATAAATTTTTCCTCTTCCAGTTTTAATTTCCTGTCCTTCGAAGATCCCTTTACGGCGTGTTAGATTCACGGTAGCGCGCTTTTCAGAGATCTTCTATGAACGCGGAGGAATCGTATTTCGCGGGTAGAGGAGCGTAAAGAAACAAGTTCGCCGGTTCCGTTCGAGAGACGACGCCGGACAGATCTTGCTTTCGCGAGTCCATCTGGATCCGCGATTCTACGGCGTTTTGTTCGCTCGAATTGTCACTGATAAACGGTTGCGCGAACACGTTACCAACGGGCACGCTCGAAAGCTTTCGGTTGGAACGTGGCCGCGCGGGATCGGACCGGCAATTAGATCGTTAATTAATTCGAAACGAATACGCGAGCTTACGTCGAACCGCGGTATGGATTTCCATAATTGCAACGGAGCACCGCCGTCTCCGCGTTCCGAGACGCAGCTTCTAATTAGAAAAGAAAGTTACAAAATAATTCCAATATGGATAAAATGGACGCTCATATGTGAATCGTCGATTTAACCCTTTAACACCAGGTGTTACACCGGCGGAATATTTATTTTAGAATCGCGTCACATTTTGTCGCCGATTAATATCTAACTTTTGTCAGCAAAGATCCGTGGTTTCACCGATGTGAAGTAAATCTCCACGTTTTCAGTTTAGATATTCAAGTGACCCATCCAAAAATAAATGAAAAAAATAAGTCCGTATAATATTGGTATTTTTGACTTTGAAATAACAAGATACAACATGTACATGACTCATAAACAAGGATGAGACTCGGTCATTTCTGCTTAATAACTCACGTAATTGGTGTTATCATCTATGGTCTGATTGGGAATTCGTAACGGTCTCGGTACGAATTAACTGGCTAGAACGCACAGTAACAACACTAGATCAACATATCGAGTTCCTGTCCAAATAACACACTAGTCCAACTCCACTTTGCGATTCGTATAACCGGAAGGATCCAAGGTATTGGAAGCTGAACGTTCACCAAGAAACCGCGAAGATTGTACTGGGATTTCGAGGCGTTTCGTGTGGACTAGCGGTGTAACTATTCACGGAATCGATAATCACACGGTCGGGGGACACGAACGAGACAAGAAAAAAAAAACAGGGATGAAAAGGTGGTTATACGGTGGCGCGTTTTCGCGGTGCTCGGGAGCGTATTCGCGCGGTTCTCGTCCGCGCTCTATGGATCGCAGAGATTCACTGCCGGCTTTGACGTACCCCACGCTCGTTGCGCTTTACGCGCGCAGACAGAAGCCTCGCGGCGGCAGCAGCACACAAAAGGCCGTATCACACATCGGTGGTTTTTTGGAGCGCCGAGAAAAAATAAGTAATTAAAGCCTGGATACCTATACGCGACTGTGTACCGTCACGGTTTACCTGAGCCTCGTGACAGTGAGACTTAAACATCGTCCACTTGGATGATCGTTCGATCAGGACTTTTCCAACAATTTCAACTTTCTATTTCACATCTTTCGAATGAAACGTTTCCGTCAGCCCGCAATCAGGGAAACCTGAACACAGTAAATCTTCGATGAGTGTTCGAAGGCTTCTCGACAGTGAACATTAATTATTTCATAAATAATGGCCATGTGGTAAATCTCATTAAACAGTTAAAGTTATACTTGAGGATCTCTCCGTATCAGTGCCTAGGAGCCTTCGAACATTTATGGAGGATTTCCTGTACGACCCAATCGCGACACTGGTTTCCGCGCGAAAAGAGTGAAAAGAACCGTTGCAGAACGTGAGTCGATTCCGTCACGGACGTGACCGTGCATCGGTGTGTACGGATTACTCGGGTAATGACGATCTCTGAAACACGTTTCTCTAAGTCGTCGAACTCGGTTTTCCTCCTGTGATCCGCTGGCAAAGAAAGCGAACTAATCCGCTTTCGAAGCTCTACGTGCCACGGAGGCTATCAACACCTTCCTCGTGTCCCTAATACTCGTATTTACGGTCGCTGCTAATCAATCTACCATCGTGGTTTATCAGTAAAAGAATACCTACTGTACGTTCACCTGACAGATTAAATAGTCGCGCGAAAATCCCTCGAGGGAATGGATTTGGTGTGTCTGGACACCGTAATCGAGCACGTGTGCGAGGCAAGCCTAAAGCCGCGCGGTCGCCTCGTAGAAAAAGCAATCAATCGGTGCTGGGCGACCGTCTGGGAGCCGTAAGGTGCGTGTCTGAGAGGGTACGCGCGTGCTCGAAGCAATTCGAGGAGCAGAGCGTGACAGACGCTGGTGAAGCTTGCAAGCTCTATTGGTAAGCCCGCATAGACCGTGTCAGGGGCAGCATTATAGGATACGTACTACTTGAAAATAGCAATGACACACTTCGCGGTCTGCTGTTCTGACATCGAACGGACCGTCGCGCGTCTCGCCAGGTTAACGTTGTTCGACGTCGAAACAGCCCCTGTTGGAGGCGTGCACAGTTCTCGTAGTTGACGATACCTTCGGATATGGGCGTCGTCGGCCTCCTCGTGATCAACAGAAGCAACGTAGTAGTCAGCTGATGAATATCTTCGCGAGGGACTGACAGACGCACAGAAATACGACGACCAAACTTGTCTTCCCGCGAACTTGCTCGCGACACCTGGAGGAGGGAGTGACAGAGAGAGAAAGAGACAGGGGTTCCCCTCGAACCCTCTGCTCGGCAACCCTCCCGCCCCTCGTTTTTGTTCGATCGCGACCACCCGCAGGGACGCCGACTACTGCATCGAGATGCGTCCACGGAATTCACTATACTCTCGTCGCGACGACCCCCGCCTGCCTCCTCTCTGTCTCACCTTGCCCACCCGTTCGCGGACCTGCGCTCTTCGTGGCGACTGCACTCGCGTTTTAGCAGTCAACGTGGAACGACTTACTCTTCTAGGCTGTTATCGACCGGGAATGATAGATTGGGATTCGCGTGGCTTGTTCAAATACGAACGCGGGCGGGAGCGTTCGTATGGTTTGAATATTATGGTCTTCGTGATGGTTACATATTTGATTGGTAACGATGGATGGAAAATGGGTGATGTTTTAGGAATTGTCAGACAGTCAAAGTATTCTTGACATTGTCTTGTTATTGGCGAAAGAGTGTTTCTGAATTTTGATGTTGCAATTGTTGGGCTTGGCACAGGGCGGATACAAGGAATGTACATGGTCTTGTTGTTTTATGGTTCTATCTTCCAGCATGGTTCTCCATTCGTTGCAAAGTGGATTTTCCGTGGTATAATGCATAGCTCGGTTCCAGAGAAAGTCAGTAAAAAATTGAAGTTAATCGCGACTTTGACACTTTGCGTGTGGTAATGGTGTGACAGGTTCACTGCCAGCCACGGGAAAGCTTATCTACTATTTATGAACATAAGGAGACCTTCAACTTTGTATTGTATCACTGAAATAATTTCACGTATCGAAGAATTAAGTTTAGCTACGGTCAACGAAATTCTAGTATCTTGACGGACAAAATAACAATCTAGTCGACTAACGCGTCGAGTGAGCTAGCAGGTAGAACCGTTGATCGTGATTTATTTGATCTTTATTTCGTATTTGTACACGCCCTCAGCATGCCACATACAATCAATATAATACAGTCCAATGCAGCCAAGGTAGAAGTAAAATACAAAAAATATATGTATATATTTATATTCTACGTCGATAGTTAATTATTATTACTATTGTTACCACGATGTTATAACGCTGAATATATTATTGAATAATAGCTAGGAATATAATACAAAGAAGAGTGCTGTATACGGTAGGACACGTAATTCGGATTGAACGTGGTGCGGATATTACCAATATTCTGCAGCGTCTCCCTTCGAGATCGCTAAGAGAAACGGTTCGCGATCATTGCTTCTCGTTCTATCACCGGTGTTGCGAACACGAAACGTCGAATGAACATTCAGAATCACAGCTCCCCCCTCGCGATCACTCGTGTCTATTATAGATTTGCGGCGAAGAGAAGCTTCAACGATCTTCGTTAACGTCGATAGAAAGGGGAGACTAACGAAATGTGTTACTTGTACCGTCCACGTATGGCTATGCAAAAAACGCGAATAATTTAACGTTTAATAAGGTTGTCAAACCCCTGAAGAATCTAGGGGATCGGGTAGATTCGAAAGGAAAGGGGGAAAATTGCGTTGAAGTGGCAGTACGGTAACATTGACTAATTTATTGCTATTGAATCGCAAGGGAACACGATACCTTCGAAGAACATGAACGTACGCGGCGAACCACCCCTTCCGTGATTCGTGGCTCCCTTCGATGATCAACGATCGTAACGATCTGGACGCAAAGACCGACCGCTACACGCCACGGATGCCCCCCTTAAATTAAACACACCGCTTACACAGCCATACCACGTCCGATGCCCCATCTGGAGGAGCAATCGAAGCTGGAGCACCGAGAATAGTCAAACGTTCGAGATGAGCAAAGTGGTATATTCTCTTTTAATCGAGTGGATTCGTACGCGAAGGGATCAGGGTGGTGATGGTGGTTCGTTGCTGAAGAGATACGGGAAGATAATTCGTTGAAACCTTTTCGAGTTTTCTGAGTGTCTTTATTAGAGCGTAGCCGGTAAGCGTTTTATGGCAGCTTTATGAGGATGACTGGGGGTAGCGACCGTCGTTAAAAGTCATCGAAAAGAAATCCTAACCCAACGGTGAAACAATGATAAGACAATTAAATCCATAATGTTAACAGTAATAGAGTGTAATGTAGAATAACTAAGGTAATTCAACTAAGAAAGGGGGAGGGAAAGGGGGGGGGGACAAAAGTAGTAAAAATCCTCCTACTCTGGTGTCGTTATTTCTTCCTTCTCTTTCTTTCTCTCTTAGTCTCGAGGAAAAAGGAGAAGAAGAATGTCTTCCACGGACGGTAGGAGAACGAGTCGGAAAAGAGAGAGAACAAAAAGGGAGGTGGGTTGTGTATGGTAGAGCGGAGATCGGAGGTGTTCACGTTCTAACAATTATCTCGTTCCTCATCGTAGACGACAAGATTTCTTACAACAATAATCGTAGGAGTTCACGGCTCTCTCTCTCATTGACCGCCTCGCTGACTGGAATAAACACAACTACGTAACATGTATACTCGCGGGCTTACGATAGTTAGGTCTCTCTGTCACCTCTCTTCTTCATCTGCAATTGATTCTTCCTGGCAATTAATACTATGTTCTCGTTACAATTGGTTTTACGCTAGTTCCACCCTCGCCGAACGCTTTTCTGTTTCTCTCTTACCTTTCTCACACAGGACACACTCGCTCGGTTCTTTTGCTCGCTCACTCTCTCTCTTCTTCTCTCTCATTTTCTCTCTTGTACTCTATCACCCTCTTGCGTTTCTTCTTTTGTCGCTTCTAATCTTCCGTGGGCAGGGTGGCGCGTGAACACAGTCATACCATGAAAAGAAAAAAAGATAAAACGGAAAGTTATCGACCATTGGAATTCTCGTTCGTTTTGTTCGCGACCACCCTGTATATACAAACGATGACCGCCTTGTTTGATCCTCTTGTCTGTCCGTTCTCACGAGGAATCTTTTCTATCTTTCTTTCTTTCTTTCTTTCTCTCTCTCTCTCTCTATATATATATATAATATACTTTATAAAATACATTAGTTTACAAACAACGTGGATTAAGTGCCGACGTCCCGCGGAAGTTATCACAGCTCAGGCTCGATCGTGGAACGGCTCGACTAAGAACTCTACCCGGGCGATCTAGTGGAAGAACTCTCTACGCTCCAGGAAAAGAAAGCTTGTTTTTCTGTTATCGTTCGCGCCACCGTTCGCTTCGACTATTCGATAAATTATCGCTGCTAGTTCTCTCTAAACTGGGATCAGCTCGGGAGTCGCGTCCGGGTGCTCTATCGGCCGAGACAAATTCAACTGATCGGTTCAAAGTCACTTCATTTTTCACAAATCGCACTAGTCATGGCTTGCCCTTTTGCTTCGCGTTATCTTTTAACCAGAGATGGACATAATCTCACTCGAACGACGTAACATGAATTGAAGTAACATATATTATTTTCTTTGTAAACAAGTAAGAAGCAAAGTGACGGGAGAACCATAAGTGGCGACAACACTGAACCGTCAACTGATCTTGTATCGACTATACCGGCTAATAAAATACTGTATATTCTTTGATACCTCGTCCGAAAGAGCTCGTAGACGATCTTCTCTCCAGCCGTCAGCTTGGTCACGCAGAAAAAGTGCTAGAAACGCAGTACAACGGGATCGTGTTACGGAGCTGCGCAACCGACTGGCAGAGACGTCGATCATCAGAACAATAAGACTGTCTTATCGTGCTACATACATATGTACAAAGCCTCCGGCGCGGAGGCACCCCTCCTTTCCTTCGATTTCTCCCCTGAATCCGAAACGTGCACTAACGCGGGAAGCAACGGGGAAGGCGTCTCCCTCATAACGACAACTCTTTTTTTTTGCTGAACCTCTCTCCCTCTATCTCTCTATCTCTCTCTCGCACTCTTGTCCCACCATCGAAATCGTTGAAATAAATATGTCTCTACTGGTCTGGTACCGAGGCGATTTTAGAACACGGCTATAATATATACTCTGGTAAGATTAATGGATAGTGCATGTTCCGGATGTATCTACAATGAGGCAAGATTCCGTCAACGAATATATCATTTTCGCTTCTATCCACGTCAGACACCGGCTGAGCCTAATCACTACGTATTCTCACTTCGTTCGAGGTTGCGTCGATACCGAACACGAAGAACGTATAAAGAATTCTGAACGGGTGGCTGCATGATTTGCAAAAATATTTCTCAACTATCACCTACATCTTGCGTTTTACTATTATTTTTTTTCTGTATTTTTTTTTTCTTCTTTCATCACTCCTCATAATTTCTCGAAATATACTAACTTTCAACGATCATTTTTTAGGGGTTGGGGGAGGCGGGGCTAATATCTTCAGGAGGTTAACGGTAACTGGTCGCCTCGCGTAAGCGGCGATTTGGATGGTATGGACTTTTTTTTAAACTTCTAACGGATAGATCTAGAACCTGCTTCTCTGTTTCGAACGGAACTCGACGATAAAACGGAAATCAATTTCGGGCTAAGTCGCGTACAAAGCGTCGCTGGAACGTCTCGTGCGAATTCGCTTCGCGGTTGGACGAGGACAACATTTGTAACCGAAAGTTCCGCTGTTGCGTTAGCCTCTCCGCAGAGATCGACTGGAAAGAAAATCTGTCTCCGGGGCGTTGCAGCGACCTTCTCCATCTAGCTTCCTCTCACGTCCGGACCCGGCACTCGTCGACGATGTACCGGCTCGTGCGGAATAATTAATCTGATAAACGAGAATTAACGAGTCGTTACAACGTCAGGATGTTCTCGGACCACATTCTCTTGCGACACTTCGCTCTCTCGCGTCCCTACGTATCCCTGGAAATAAGTACAAGGTTCATCCTACGATGAAACATCGCGGCAGTGAGTCTCGGTACGCTTTGCAGATGCAAACACCGACGATAAACAATTAACAAACGATATTATTTCTACTCGAGCGAATGATTTTCTGTGGAAAGGAATAAGGAAATTGCAAGGATAGTTACCTCAGACTGACCTTCTCCATCAGCATGGACAAACGACCCTCCGAGTGATTGGCAGGAAGTAAGGACTTTAGGAGTTCCCTGACAAGGGCCTCGGTCATACCCGGCGAATTGCGTTCCGCCGTTTCGAACGCGCTCCGTAATTCCTCTATCGCGCCTCCGTTCTTGCTGATGCCGCTTCCGCCCTCGCCATTATTGTCTCTCGTCGAATACTGATGCTTCCGTTGAAGCTGCGACAAATAAGGGGTAACAAAAGGTGCATCTACATCTTCCGGAGCTATCTTAATCAGCTATACAATTGTCAGTAAATGCCGATCGAAGTATTTGCGTTTTACTATATAACTTCTGTGCAAAAATAATCAAAAGCTAGGACAAGATGTGGGAATTTAAAAAGATACAACAAATACTGGTTAGAGGATAGTGAGCGAAATATGTAATAATAGTAGGGATATAATATATAAATTGATATCTAATCATGTACACTTCGATCAGAATTAAAATGGTATCCAGGAGAATAATTACCTCGGAAAGAAGAGGTAAAACAACACCGGAAAGGACAGCGCTTCGCGGATGCTTCAGCTCCTGCGAGCTCCTCGGCCTCTGTTTATTCTCGGCGGGCCTGGGGTCCAGCCTCCTCCACTCTTTCGAATTTACATCCTTGTCCCATCTTTCCCTCGCCCCTCTATCACGACCCTCCCCCCTGTCCCTGCTGTCTCTGGCGTCACGGCTCTCCTTCAGCTCCCTCATCGAGGAATCTCTATCGAAGACCCTGTGGTCCCTGTCCTCCCGTTTCTCCCGTGTGTCAACAGGCGGCGGTGGCGCGGCCTCGTGGGGTCGGGACTAAAAAATGCAATTGAATTCTTGCTCGTAGCCGTACGTGTGCTTTTTCTATTTTAAATTATTCTCATTAATAGAATGCGAACGTTTATGCATTTATAGCGTTCCTTAACTTCCTAACTAACCAGCGTCACACCTAGGGACCCCTCCTTGTCAGTGTCGAGGAGTCTTCGAACACTCACTGAGGTCTTACTGTACTCGTAAAACACACTTACCGGCGTGTGCTTTGATTGGCCATCGCGCACAGAGTCCCTGGATTCGCTCCTGTAATGATTCAACGTGGACTCCTTCGGCGGAGACCTCGACGCTCCGTTCGCGTGCGGCTTCGTCTGCTGATTGTGATTCGGCGTGTGTGTCAGCGTCAACGAGGCCGGCTGCTCGTCCAGGGGTAGCATCGGCACCACGGAACCTTTCACCCCGTGAGGACCCTTCACTGTCATTATCCAGGGCTCGTCCATGTCGCTATCCTGCTTCGACTCTTCCCTGAAAAGAATGGTCGCAGCTTGAATCACCTTGGTAACCCCTTAGTAACCTTTTACGTTTACAGCCGAAACTAATACCCCTCGAAAATTATGGAAGAGACGAAAAAAAAAAAAGAAACCGAAACGATACTCACGAGTCCGAATTTTCGCTCTCCGTCTCGGATTCCTCGCTGCGCTGGGACTTCCACTTTTTGTACCGGTCTATCAGGTCGATCAGGTATGAGTTCTTCTTCGCCTTTTTAATGAACTGGAACTTGAGCAGTTCTTTCGCTGTTGGTCTCTGTGAAACGGTCGACGAAAGAACGATTATTATTACTCTTAGGGCAAAAAGATCAGAGAGACGAGATTAGGGCTAGACATTTTTCGACCGGAGATTTCGCTAAATTCTCGAGTTGGAAACTACAGAGTCGGGACCTGGTAATTGTCACGGAATGCAACTGACGCAAAGATTGTTCGTAAAGTACGTGGCAGCCCGGATGAAAATTAACAGAGCGACACGAGCACGTAGCCTCCGTGGATGGAGAGATCGACTCACGTTCTCGGGGTCCTTGTTCAGGCAGGCCTCGACGAACTCCTTGAACTGCTTCGTGTAATTTCCGGTTAGCTGCGGGGGATTGTTCTTCGGTATGAGGAAGAGGACCCTCATGGGATGCAGCTCGCTGTTCGGCGGTTCTCCCTTGGCCAATTCGATCGCCGTGATGCCCAGCGACCAAATGTCAGCCTGCGGAACAAGCGTTCTCCGTTTTATGGCTCGGCTTTAGGCGCTAATGGGACGCTAACGACGACGTGACCGCTTTGTAAGCCTTCCAAGAGCTCGCAAGACGATATAAGGGCCACAAATCGATTTTCCAGTCGCTAGTAGTCTCTAATAGACGTATTTGAATCTCTCTGCCGATAGTTTCGCGCGCAAGGAGTGGATACAATAATATGTGTCGAAGTTGTGCTAAATAATTACTGCCTGAAATTTCCATTATTATTAAGTCTAACCATCATACATATTTATAACGTAGGTTTCTACCTCAATAGAAATTATACCTCTCTACAATATTACGTATTTCTTATCAGTCGTAACTTTTGCGAAGTTAATAATAACGTCAGTCATGATAGTTTAGTGATCGAGAGTTAAAAAGTATGCTAACTTCTGGAAACCTGGTTTTTCCATGGGTCAGCGTAATTACCTTCGAATCGTAGGCGGACTGTTTGATTACTTCCGGTGCCATCCAGAACGGCGTGCCGACGAAGGTGTTTCGTTTGCTGGTCGTGTTGGTCAACTGTCCGGCGACACCGAAGTCGGCCAGCTTTACATCGCCCATTTCGCTCAGCAGAACGTTCGCCGCTTTGTAAACGAGAGATATGGAACGATTAGTTAACAAAACACATTCCACGTGTGGTGCCACGAATCGATCATCCACTCATTGAATCACTCTCCATTCGTTTCTCCGGTTAATGTGTTAAGTTGCAAACGTTATTGAATAGTTCAGCTTTTCAGCGGTCTAAAGCCATTTGTTACATTTTCGGTTACATAAGTTGTAATAATTTTCATCCTTTGATTTTTCCACCAAGAATATTCACCTTTAATATCACGATGAAGCTTCCGCTCGCTGTGAAGATAATCCAGCCCTTTGAGCACTTCGCGCAATATCACCGCGATGTGCATTTCCTCGAAGCTACCAGCCTTCATCAAGTCCAGGGCCGAGCCGCCACCCAAGTACTCCATAATAATCCATAGTTTCGTTCCCTGCAAACAGAGAAAGATTCCCATTACACGGTGAAGGGGGGCAATCGGCGAAATGCTTTGTGTCTGGAAACTTCGACGCTGGATCGTTGGCTAATCCTTCCCTCGACATTTCCCTTTTCGATCTCGTAACCGGTCGGATATCGTCGTACGCCTATAGCGGGTACGCTTGGTACCGAGATCACTAATGAAAATGAAAGGTTTTTGGGGCCGCGGCCAATTAGCGAAAATAGACATTCCCGGATCTTATTCTATTGTAAACGACAGAAGAGACCTTGGGATATTGGGAGGGGGTAAAAGAGAACGTATTCCGGAAGCTGGTAACGCGCAGTCGACGATAGGAAGAGAAATTGGATCGAGTCTGACACACACACACACACAGGCTTCTAGCCTTTTCGCAAATTACGTTTGCCGTTCGCAAACGACAGCGTTATCCTCATCGGTAATCATCAATCTTTGTTGGTCGTAATAGCCGCGCCAACGTGGACCGCACCTTCGACGATAATTATATCCGACATCGATGTTCAATCGCGTTCCCGGTCTTACGCACCGGCAATAAGAGGGCTGATTCATTGGTTAGCCGATAATCAACGTGCCTGATCACTGGCTCGCACAAGGATGTTCCAAGATTCCCGACTCTTTGGTCAACGGCTTGTGAAGGAATCAGCGGGCAACCGCGGGGGCAGGATGATGACTCGTGTGGAACGGCGAGTCCGGAAAAATTATCACACGATCGTCAAGGTAACACGCGTCGAGCAGAGAGATATAAACGGTTCATTAGATCGCTCCTGGTCGAGATGGAGGGTTGAAACTTGGCAAAAACTGTTATTTCTTGACAAGCTATCTAATGGAATATCATATGTCCAAATCCGGCTAAGGGCACTTTTGACCCCCTATTCTGTTATACCTTCCGAGGTCGATCCCAAATTCGTTAACCTCTACCAACAAGATATTCGTGAGTTCCATTAAAATTTTCGTTCGAATATCGAGGTGTATTATAAAATAAACAACAGAGATGTAATGCACGATTGGATGTATCGAATTGGAAATCCAACAGGAATAACAAGGAACGGTATTTAGGTCCTAAATCAAGTGGAAGGGACGAAGGAAGGAGACAGAGAGGAGAGAACATCTTTGAGGGACGTTCTTGAACACCTCTCGATCACGTTTCAGCCGTCAGGATGGACGCGAGGTTGACGGGGATCGACACTTTATGGGGTATAATTTTCACGTGGCAAGCATGGGGTGACTTGTCTAGTGGCCCCCGCGTGATGCTCATGGGCACATGGGGGGGGGGGGGGTGGAGAGCGTGTATGGTTGCCCATAAAATGGCACCATTTATCATCGTCCTACGGTTAGAAGGCGCAACGCGGCGGGCCGACTGCGTTTATTCTCATGTAGATCCAACGTCGACGTAGGTGGCCGAGGCTCTCGCGAGGGTTCGTTCAACCCGGTTTTCAACCAGGCCACTTCTGCCGACTCAACCAGGGGGGGTTGCTAAATCATTCCCCTATCCGGCAGACACTTCTTCCTCCACGTTCCCCTCTCGCTTCGAGAGTCGAAACCGGGGCGGGTTGGAATAAACGCGAGCGCCACGGGGAAAAGCATTTTACGTAGACGCTTTTCTTGGATTTTCTCTTGGCTATCTTTTTGCGTCTTTTTACATTGAAAAATTACTCTCGAATAGAGAGGGAAGACAGAGACTACGCGTCTTTCTATTTGATGAGCTATCCAGTATGGGTTAATCGATCTGTTGGATGACCAATCTAGGTACAAGACATTACAGTACAAATTTTCCTTTCCTTTGAACCTAACGAAATCTTTGAGAAAGGAAACCAATCGCTGACGCAATTTCAATTCAGTAAATGGATCTATGAAATTATCTGAATTTGCATAAAAATCCACAGTCTATTAATGACTTATCCAATATGGGTTAATCGATCGTTTCCCTCGATAACTGTCACCGCGCAACCCCGAACCTTGGACAACTACAGAGACACAGAGACTATATCCACGGAAATGGAAGTGGATAGAGTGAACGCAAACCACGCTGAAAGGTTTCCTGTTCTCTTTCACACCCGAGAATTTCGCTCGAATGCCACGCGTGCCTCACTGGAGCCGAGAATGCACGAAAAAATGCGCCCCCTTTGAATACTTTCCGTGACTTCCCTTTTTTCTTATTTTTTTTTTTTCGGAGGGTAGAAGAATGATATCTTTTCGTCCGGGTCTCGCGAGCGCCGCGAGGCGGGTTTAATTAAGGAGGACAAACAGACACAAGCCCGGGGAATAATTACTCCCCCCGGGGTTTTAATAAGCGGAAACTACCCACGAAATAAAACGACACGGGTTTCTATCCGTGATATGCAAGCTTCTCGAGAGTCGAGAGTTCGTCCATGTTCCATGTCCCGCCGAACATCGGCCAGAAGTATTTTATCCCTAGATCACTAAACTATATTAACTATAAAATTGAACGGGTGTCTAGAAAAAAGACGTATGTTAAAAATTTTTTGATAGTTATTTCCCGTGGAACAAGGGGTGTGACGGTACTTTGGAAAAATTTTTGTGCTCGACAATGGCACTAGAAGTTAGGCGCTGCACGGAAAAAATTAATTATTATTATTCTTTAATTTCTACAGTGTGCAATAAATTGTTCTTACATTTTCCTGTGAATTTTATGAAATGTAACATACGCCCTACTTCTAGGCACTCATTCAATTAAGTCCTCGAAATCGAGGTTCTCGGCACGTTACCGTCGATAGTATCCAAAAGTGACTCTCATAAACACTTGTAACGTAGTCTTCAACCATAATAAAAATAAATGTAATTTTCACAAATGATGAGCACTAACGTAAGTCACAGAATAGTTTAGTGATCTAGGGTTAATTTCGTTCAAGCACAGTGAGGAGATATGGCCGGAGATGTTTCTGTTCGACGCTTTCACTCTGCGCGCGGCCCGCTTGTTCTCGCGATTCTTTTATCTCCAGCGAACGGGGATAGACGTTGAATGAACGAAGAAGAAAGAAACGGGAGAAAAAAACAGAGAAGAATCCTTTTCAGTTTAATGAATGTCGCGCCTCGCGTTAAAAAAAAAAAGAAAGAAAACAGCCGCTAGTCACGAGTATGTCACGTCTGGACCGTTTCGTCGTTGTCATTCAGGCCGTTCTCCAGAGGAGCGTCGAAACCGACTGGCGAATTGAAAAATAAGTAATCCAGGGGACGAAGAAACGGACCTCGACGGGCTCAATAATCCGTGACAGTGTCGCGAAACCAGCACGATAAATAAAGGACGGATTTCATTACACGTTATTTCACTTTCGAAGTGATTCTTTGCATTGAAATTTGATTCAACGATGAATGGAATTGAGAGTTGAAGCTGGTAACAGGAGAAACGCGAGCCTCGGACCCGTGAAATTCCTTCGAGAGGGTATTATCGACTCTCTGCACGTCTATTTAGCGGGGAAATGATTCTTGGGGAGAGAGATCTCGGTTTGCCAATCGTGGTCAGTGCCCTTTTACCGCCCTTTCTTCAATTTCTTGTCGTCCCCAGTCCTTGGACAGACTTTGACAAGACACTGCGTTGAACTTCTCTAACGACTCGTCCCGAATCGACAACTTTTCCGTAAATCTGTAGGGGCTCTCTTGGAAACTGTTAATCTTAACCACGTCTCGGTGCTGTCTCGAGGTAATGATTACGTCGTTAACCCTCGAATGGTAAGCTAGGTGTTAAGATCGTACTTGGTTAGGTGGATATTTTTAGACGGATAAAAAAAGTTATTATCTTCAACTTGTAGATTGATTTATATAATAAGGAATAATAATTTTAATCGAGTGCGTATTTCGTTTCGAAATATCGTCGCGAGCAGAAAGCAAGATTTAAACGCTTGAATTAATCGAGTCGCAGCCGAGTTTTTCCCTTTTTTTCACTGGGTCCACCGTACGGAATGCTCGGATAAAATAAACGCGCAGAGGTACATAGTCGAGCAAATATTACGCGATTTCCAGTCTGTCGCATATAGTTGAACGGAAAAAGAGGAGAGTCCGGTCTCGTCGCGCAGTAGGAGGCAAAACAAGCGAAAAGGCGAGCCGAATCAGTGATTAATGGCCGATTTCGCGTCTCCTCTATCGTGCCGTGTGCTTTTGTTTCCTCTGTTTCGCAAAAATGGCAGGCGTGCCGGTGGCAGTGATGAACGATGGCGACGGAATTAATCCCCGCCCCGACGATATTCGTGCCATCGTAGGCCGTTCCTCTGGATTAAGCAAAACTGGAAAATAAATGTCGATAAATCGACCCTCGATATGGACCCACCAACGGGACGAGAATATCGTCTGAACAGAGTAAATCTTCGATTAACGCTTAGAATTCGGGACCGCTTTGGAGCAGTGTGCATTAACTGCACACCGAATTGGTCGCTTCCAAGCTCCACGAAGATGATACTTAATCGGGAGAATACACACTCGAAAGTAGCTATTTCTGGTGTTTAAATTTCAATCTGAAGGAGCATCTGCTATAAACCACGAGCATTTTCAATTCCAGCCGGTCACGAGCAATGGGTTGGGCAACGTTAATCACGTGTTACGATGAAACGAACCGCGGGGGAGTTTTTGAGCGCAGAGAGGATGGAACGTTGGATTAATCGTGGGGCTCTGTCGACACCGGCAGGCTACTCGGATAAGAGTGAAAGCGGACAATTGTCCGCGGGTGGTCGATTAGAGGTGATTGCCGCGGAACGAGGGAGAGCTCACCGCGAAAAAAGAAATTTCTATCGTTGTTCGGGGCGTTGCTGAGCCGCGGATCTATTCTTAGATCGGAGCCATTAGGAAATTGGCCGACTAATAATAGATCGACTTGGGTCGCGAGGAATCGCGCCGCGGTTACGTAAAGTCGCCCTCTTTCGAGTTTGCCCTTTTTTTCGGGCCGACACAGACGGTTCATATTTATTAATTTAGCATTGGTAGATTCGAAGGGAAGCAGATTTGCCAGATCCATCGATGATCTGATTAAC